CTCCTCCTCCTCCTCCTCTTCCTGGTCGTCCTCCTCCTCCTGGTCGTCCTCCTCCTCCTGTTCGTCCTCCTCCTCCTCCTCCTGCTCGTCCTTCTTCTCCTGCTCCTCCTGCTCCTCGTCCTGCTCCTGCTCGTCCTCGTCCTCCTGGTCTTGCTCGTCCTCCTCCTCGTCGTGCTTTTGCCCCTGCTGAAAATGTGGCCCAGGAATGGGAGTTCTGGGAAGTCGAAGAGCACGAAGTTGCCTACAGTTGGCTACGGGCATTCAAAATGTGGCCCGGGAATGGAGTTCTGGGAACTCGAAGAGCACGAAGTGGCCTAGAGTTGGCTCCGGGCATTCAAAATGCGGCCCGGGAATGGAGTTCTGGGAACTCGAAGAGCACGAAGTGGCCTACAGTTGGCTCAGGGCATTCAAAATGTGGCCCGGGAATGGAGTTCTGGGGACTCGAAGACCACGAAGTGGCCTACAGTTGGCTCCGGGCATTCAAAATGTGGCCCGGGAATGGAGTTCTGGGAAATCGAAGAGCACGAAGTGGCCTACAGTTGGCTCCGGGCATTCAGAATGTGGCCCGGGAATGGAGTTCTGGGAAGTCGAAGAGCACGAAGTGTGTGACTGTTGGCTTAAAACGACTTCTGCGGCACCCTGTCCGGCACCCGCCCAGACCCCCCTGTGGAGTCATCTGCTGCTCCCTTTTGACCCCTACTAGAAACCTATCAGTCTTCGCTGTTAGGTAAAATTATCCCGGCAAAGCAACCTAACAGCGATGTGTAGAAGCATATCTGAAAGCATTCCCCTTAAGATTCAGATGAAAATCCAGTTGTAGAATTCTGCTGTTCTCGCAGTCGTAGTCGCATTCGCGATGACAGTCGCAGCGGCAACGGCAGTCGCAGTCACAGCCTCAGCCTCAGCCTGCCTCAGCCTCAGCCTCAGCCTGCCTCAGCCTCAGCCTGCCTCAGCCTCAGCCTCAGCCTGCTTCAGCCTCAGCCTCAGTCTGCCTTCAGCCTCGGCCTCAGCCTCAGCCTGCCTCAGCCTCAGCCTGCCTCAGCCTCAGCCTCAGCCTCAGCCTGCCTCAGCATCAGCCTGCCTCAGCCTCAGCCTCAGCCTGCCTCAGCCTCGGCCTCAGTCTGCTTCAGCCGCAGCCTCAGTCTGCCTTCAGTCTCGGCCTCAGCCTCAGCCTGCCTCAGCCCCAGCCTGCCTCGACCGCAGCATCAGCCTGCCTCAGAATTCAAAATGTGGCCCAGGAAAGGGAGTGCTGGGAAGTCGAAGAGCACGAAGTTGCCTACAGTTGGCTACGGGCATTCAAAGAGCACGAAGTGGCTTACAATTGGCTCCGGGCATTCAAAATGTGGCCCAGGAATGAAATTCTGGGAACTCGAAGAGCACGAAGTGGCCTACAGTTGGCTCCGGGCATTCAAAATGTGGCCCGGGAATGGAGTTCTGGGAACTCGAAGACCACGAAGTGGCCTACAGTTGGCTCCGGACATTCAAAATGTGGCCCGGGAATGGAGTTCTGGGAAGTCGAAGAGCACGAAGTGGCCTACAGTTGGCTCCGGGCATTCAGAATGTGGCCCGGGAATGGCGTTCTGGGAGGTCGAAGAGCACGAAGTGTGTGACTGTTGGCTTAAAACGACTTCTGCGGCACCCTGTCCGGCACCCGCCCAGACCCCCCTGTGGAGTCATCTGCTGCTCTCTTTTTAGCCCATTAGAAACCTATCAGTCTTCGCTATTAGGTAATCAACTCTGCCACACCCTCAACGTTCCAAGAACCAACACGCACAAAACTGCCACGGCCCAAACTCAATATTTCCGCGTCGTCGCCGCTCTCCGCCGCGAGGAAAGAAACCGAAACTTCCTGTCTGTCTCCGCGCCGCCCCTACTTTCGCCGGAGCCTTTCGCCCTGTCGAAATTCGCCTGGGCCGCCGCGGTGATCTCGGAAAGCCCAGCGCTTCCCACCCCACCCCACTCCAGGTCGACCCACTGCAGCTCGAAGCGAAAGTCCTTCACCACCGTCTTGGCCACCGCCGCCCTGGCAACCGACATGGAAGAGCAGTCCGCGTCGATCTCGATGCTCGCCTCGTTGGAAACCCCACTTCGCCAACATGCGGCACAACCCGGAGAGGACCACGCGCTTCGCGCGGACGTCGGGGGGGGGTCCGGCTTTGCCCAGACGGCGCCCCCTAAACTCCCGCGCTGCCTCTTCGCGAAAGCATCGACCGCGCCGGGGAACACCTGGCGCGCTGAGTCGGACCCGACCTCGATGTAGAACACGCCCTTGAACTCACTCTTGCAAAACATGTTGTTTGGCGCGGGAACTAGAACATTGAAATCAGCAATTAAGTCATAGCCCCCTTAGCTGCCTCCTCAAAGGTCGACACGCTGGGCGCGTCCCCTGTGAAAGCAACAACAGATGATGGGTTGGACCTAGAGGCAACGTTGCTCGGGGTCGTGCACTGCGACGAACTCTCCTCGATCATCTTCGCCACGTCATCTTCGGTGATCGACGTCTCCTGGAGCTTCGCCACCAAGTCCCCCACGCCGTTGACAGTCATGCTCGCCCCCAGGACTGCCCGCTCTGCGGACGCGGCCGTCTTCTTCGCCTGCTTCGCCCCATTCAGGACCCCCCATGTCTCGCGACTCTTGCCCGGCGCCCCCTTCCCGATGTCCTTCATGTCCGCCATCATCGCCTGCATCGCGCGCGCCATGGTCCCCTCCACCTCGCCTGAGGCAGCCGCCGGACGATCGTCATCGTCCGAGCCGTCCACTTGCTGCAGGGTGGACCAGGAGCGGGTCCGCCTCCGCTCACCACCGAGAGGAGCACCAATGTCGCAACGCTTCACGTCGCAAGTCAAACCGAAAAAAATCTGGACTAAGAGGCAACGAGCACAGCGCAAAGGAGATCACACAAGGGGACACGTGACCTTGAGGGACCCGGAAACTCACCACCCGCAGTCTCTATGGTCCAGAACGGTGACGTCAATTCTTCTGAGACGGCTCGGCCCCACCTTTAGTTCCCTCTACATTGATGACTAGATACGGGCATACATATTTATATATATGTATATACATATATATATATATACACACGCGTGCGTAGACCATGATATCCGCCACCGTGCCTTCGCACGTGGAAGCGCGGAAACATGCCAAGCGCCGCCCGCCAAAGTTCCCGAAATCTTCTGATGGGCCACACGCGCACGCGCCCAGCCCCGCTCTCGTCGCAAACGGAGCGCGCACGACCCCTGCCCCCGCGGCCCCCCAGGCGGCCGAGACGCACCCCCGGCACTACCCCAGGCGCCCAAAAAGACCCAAGATGGTCCAAGAGGCCTCCACGATGGCCCAGGAATGCCCCAGATGGCCTCGGGGCGGCACAGAAAGTCGAAAGTGACATGGCAAGCCGCGCCACAGCACGCCCCTTCAGCGCGCAAAGGTACCCCGAAACATGCCCATGCTGTAGGCATGAGCAGATAGACGAGGGATAAGGCATGGGATGGTAGAAGTCATCATGGAAGGACGCCCCCCCGCCCCCCAGGTGCGAAATTGCCCCGCAAACGGGACAGTCACATATATGAGGCGCCCCGCTTGAGCCCCGGCGGCGGCGGCGAACGCAGGCGCGTCGCTCGTAGACTCGCCATTGACCCCCGTTCAAAATCAGAAAAGGGGGGGTCGAGCAGTGGGCCGCGCCAAGCTTCACTGCGACAAAAACTCAAAACTGCAAGAGCAGCGGCAAGACAGCGGCGACGCAGCGGGCGCCCTGATTGCATCGGCGACACGGTCATCATAGGAAAATACGCAGGCGCGGGAAGGCTCACGGGGCGCATGGCCAGAACCGAAAAGCCGTTAAAAGTGAAAGGTGAAAGATACGCCCGAGGCCGGACAGCAATAGGCGCGCACCCATGCTGGCTAACACGCCTTACTCATCATTGGCCATTAGCCTGTAAGATTGCATTGGCGGCGTCTTTGTTTAAGGCGCCCCCGCAGCCACGGAGTAACATCTTAGCCGGTACATGCTGCGCCCAGAATTGGCGGTAGGCGCGCGGAATAGCGCGCATCACCTCGTCGGCTACACGTTGGTCAGCCACAGACCGAATGCATCGGCCGATAATGTGAGACGATAAACTGTTTAACGCGTGAGATCGCACTCGGCCTCCTCGTCGAAGCTAAGTGCCACTGGTTGACAAGGAACCTCTTTATTGGGAGTGTCGCAGCTGAATAAAGGATTCCGGCAGCAACGAGACGGGCCACTTGCTCATGCTAGGTCAGTGCAGATTTGCTTCGCCTTGGCAACTGCCTGACAAATACGGCCAAGGCCCAGCGGCAGCGCCGGCGCCAGCCCCGGCGCCAGCTGCACCACGCCAGCCGCGCCAGCCGCAGGACCTGCGCAACCGAGCGCGCGGCCACGTGCGCCGCTACCTACACGTCTACGGCGCCGACCCAGCAGCGGGCACCAGCAGCTACGACGTGGCCCGAAGAAATCACGGGGATAGTGGTGGCCACGCGCGGGGACTCGGCGCCAGCATCTCCAACGATCGCCAAAGTGTCGCGCGACGGCGTGGACGTGGGCAGGGCCGCGAGGCACTGCGACCACCTAGACAACGGTCTGAAGCGCGGCTACCCGCGAGGCTACCTGATTGGATGCGTTCTGAAACCCCCGGTAGGCCTCCAAAACCTACGCACATTCAGCCCAGCACTGACCGTCAAAAAGCGTCGGAAACGCCACCTGCGCTGGCATCATGATTCGGAGCCGACGCGCGCATGATCCTGTCCAAGGTGGAGATCGATATTGCATGGTCGACTGCGCGCGCGACTCACGCCGTGAGTGCCATGGGCGGGAGACATCTGGCTATATGGGTGCGCGATCTACCCGTTTCCCAGCGTCGCGGGTAGCGGGTGCGTCTTGGCGGGTCCACCTGTGCATTGTCGACACACGCGGCGCATCCCAGACCGCCAAACATTTGTCGGATAATGGCACCGCCGGAGTCTCGCGGTATGTTTGGGCACTCCATGTCGAGGCTGGCACTGTCGACCACAAGGGCATGCCCCTGCATTCGTCCTGCAAAGAGATCACGGCCAGAAGCAAGTTTCTTTGCAGCCCTAACCGCGTCGACGATTCGGGATTGCATCTTAGCTGCGCGTCGGGCCGCTCGTGCTAACTTCCCATTGCATACCTGCGCATGTTCGCGATGGCCGGCGCACCTCATAGCATCGAATGGTTCGGAAACAGTTCTCTAAATGGCCATCATGCATGCGGGCGCTCGGATGAGTACGCCCGCGGAGCCCCACTGCCCCACCCAGCATTGGCCGCTAACTTGCCTGCAAATGGCTATGCGTTTGGCTCGGGTCGTCCACTGGGCGAACTGGTCTACCCATGCGCCCATGGGTTGCTTTCTTAGAAAGAGACGTCTGTGACCGTCCTTCACGACGGCGACCTTGCCACAGAAGGCACTGCGTGGATGGTCATCTCTGCGGTGCTGGTACCACGCATCAAGGATGACCTGTGCGTTAGATAAGGAGGAAGCCCCGCGGTCCTGCAGTTGGGTTGTAGCATCACCACCGTGACGCAGCACGCGTTGAGGCAGTGCTCCACGGCTTGTTGAGCAGACGTTTGTTGCGTTGGGTCGTGGCCCCGCTTGTTGCCCTGAGCCACGAGTGTACTTCGCGGTCAAATTCGCGCAAAATCACTGCGCCAGCAGCGTATCAGTGAGGGTTCCAGTTGCGAGTATCGTCCATTCCTCCTAGGCCAGGATACACACACATGATACCGAAAATGAGGACCTTAACGTAATGCATAGTCAAGTTGGCGTAAGTGGTGTCTCGGTCGTTGTGAATGCGGTTGTGGGCTGGCCGTCAGCCTCCGAAGGGGGTCGGATTCATGTTATGGCGTCGCGCCTGGCCGCGCTGTGGTAAGTTGACACTTGAAGAGAGGGATTGGGATAGTGTATTACCAATCGGTTGATGGTGGTTGGGGGCGTAGTGCCTTATAGCCGTGGCATACACGCGTTTGCCGACGAGTCCGTCGGTCGTTGTGATGCCACGTGCAGGCAGTTTCCTGGCTCTGATCTCCGAAGGGAAGCCGGCGCAATTGGATGTACCAACATGGACATGGAAAGGGTCCACCATTATGTGCCGTAGAACACTGGCATTCGGAGTCAGAGTTGGCAACGTGAAGATGAGGACACCTCCGCTACAAAATCGGAACTGGCATGGTAAGCCGTGCCATATACTGCGCCTCAAGAAGGTAATCGTCTCCCCCGACCTGTCCAACCTATAGGTGTGATCATATAGTAGGCAAGAGATGCGGCATGGGATGGGAGGAGGCACCATTGAAGGACGTCTTCGGATCCTCCCGTGCGACGATGCCCCGTGAACGGGACAGTCTCCTACATATAGGGCGCGCCTCCTGAGCCCAAGCGGCGGCGGACGCTGGCGCGTCGCTCGTAGACTCGCCTTTGACCTCCGTTCAAAGTCAGAAGGCTTCCACGACGGTCCAAGAGGGCTCCGAGAAAGCCTCCAGCAAAGCCCCAAGACGCCGAAACAATTGATTTCCTGTAGGTGTTCGAAGGATTCTCACATTCTCGCCGCAAGACAGCCCCAAAGCCGGCAAGATGGCCTCAAGACGGCCCAGGAGGGCACCAAGAAGGCCCCAAGACGGCCCAACAGGGCGCCAAGATGGCCCAAGAGCGGCCTAAGAGGACCCCAAGTGGGCCCAAGTTGGCACTCAGACGGCCCTCGAGGTCCCAAGAAAGCCCCAAGACGACCCAGAGAGCCCCCGAAGATGCACGCTGAAAGCGCCCATTCGGCCCAAGAGCGTCCTCAGACGGCCTAGGGAGCCCCCGAGAGCCCCCGAGGCGCCCCCAAGGCGCTGCCAAGAAACCCCAAGAAACCCCAAAAGACCCTAAAGAACCCTTCAAGAGGGCCCCAAAACTTTCCAGAGGCCCGAAGCGTCACCCTTGACGGCCTCCCGTGCCCCCTCGAATAGTCGCCACCCAACATGCTTGACTGGCACGGTGGCGGGACTTGCCGCAGGCAGCTGGATCCGCCGCCCCCTGCTTGCAGGGGTGCACGGCGTGCTGGACGTTTCAGGTTTTGGTTTTGGTGCTTTTTCCAAAAGAACTTCCCAGTGGGCTCCGGCAGAACCCGCCGGCCACCCGGAATTTCCCCAAACGTGCTCAACGACCGCAAAAAATCCTCCAAGAACGGCCGTTTCGCTCGGGACATCCTCAAAAAATCGCGAAGATGGCCCAAGATGGCCTCCAAGTCCGCCCGAGATGGTCCAAGACGGCCTCCAAAACGGCCCAAGAGAGTCCAAGACGGCCCAAGACGGCCCAAGAGGCCCCCCAGAGGCCTCCCAGACGGCCCAAGAGGCCTCCAAGAGGTCCTCCAGGAGAGTCCGAAGAGGCCAAAATCATTGATTTTCCCTTGGTTTTTGAAGGATTTTGGCATTTGCGCCTTTTCGGCTCTCCGACGGCTCAAGACGGCCCAAGAAGCCCCCAAGATCGCCCAAGAGGCCCCCAAGAGAGCCCCCTGATGGCCCAAGTGGCCTCCAAGATGGCCCCTAGAGGGCCCCAAGACGGCCCAAGAGGCCTCCAACACGCCCAAGATGGCCTCCAAGACGCCCAAGATGGCCTCCAAGACGGCCCTGGAGCGCCCCAAGAGGGTCCCCCGTTGGCCCAGAAAGGCCCCCAAAACGGCTCCCGACGGCGTCAGACGTGCCAGGAACCCACCAAGATGGCCGAAGTTGGCTCGAAGCTGGCCCAAAAGGGCCCAAGAGGCCCCCAAGAGGGCCTCCAGGAAGG